GGAGCCTTTCGGTCAGCCTGCTCCCTGACTTCTCATGGCATTCAAAATCTTTGGGGGTCCCTTTTTTAAAGAGGCTTCCCTCCTTCAAAGAGGAGATCGGGGTAAAGAGGAGACAGATAATGCAATCCACACAGAATGACAGGGGGGACCCCTAAGTATTCCCTGAGCTGAATCTTTTAATATTTCAAGGGGCAGGCAATCTGTTTCTTGCCTGATGTTGCCTCTAATCCTTGGGCATTCCTCCTGCTTGCATTCTGATACGGACATCAGGCGTAACATGAAGAGTCAATTACTACCCTGTTTCTCCCCCCAAAAATAAGACATCCCCTGATAATAAGTCCAATCGGGCTTTTGAGCACATGGCAATAAGGCCAAGCGCTTATTTCAGGGTTCAATAATATAGATAATTATGTATGATAGTATGTATGTATGTATTAGTATTATGTATAGTATGTATGTAATATATAAGTAAGGAAGGTCTTATTTTCGGTAAAAAAACGGTAGGAGCCCACCTAGTAATTTTGCCTTTTATTAAAGAAACTCAATAACCAGATCTGGAACCCACACACAGGTAGTCCTTGACTTATGACCGCAATTTTGGACCGGAACTTTGGTTGCTAAGCAACGGGGTCATTAAACGAATCACACACCCGATTTTATGACCTCTTTTGGGGGGGGCAATGTGGTTGTTAAAAGGAATTAAAACACGATTGTTAAGCAAATTAGGCTCCCCCCCCATTGTCTTTTGATTGTCAAAAGACCCCTGGGAAGGTGGCAGGAGGCGATCACATGACCCCAGGATGCTGCAACCTTCATAAGTACACGCCAGTTTCCTCCCGAATTTTGATCATGTGACTATGGGGGGGGGGAGACACTGCGATGAGGAGCAGCCGTAAGTAACTTTTAAAGGCACCCTTGTATTTTTAAATGGTCTTTAAACAAACGGTCGTAAGTCAAAAACTACCTGTATTCACGCTTTCGTTTTCTCCCTGTCATCTCAGCTTTTTTAAGACTTTTATGATGATGGCACACAAATGAAAGAACGGACAATATAATGTAGGCTTACAATTCTGTGTTATTCACAATATAATATTTGCTTCTCTTCCTACGTAGCCGACGAGTTATGAACTGAAGTGTCATATTTTTTGAAGATTATTTTTAGTAAGAGTAAAAAAAAAAATCTTTTTTTTTTTTTTTGAGTATAGCAAACCTAAACAATTAAATAGTTCGAATAAAAAGATTAGGGTATAAGTTATACTACCAATAAGTAGGCTACAGGCAAATGTAAAAGATCTTTACTAAAATTAAAGCATATGGTTAAATGAATTCTGTTTCTGGCAGCCAGTCTTCCCGTCTAAAGTTTTTATATAGATGTGTTGATTATAAGTGCTCCTGAATTATTGTTATTGGAGAGAAAACAGGGAAAGAAGGCATTTTAGTAAAACCTCAGGAAATAACCTGTCTTCCAACTAGATAAATGATATCTTTCTTATTAATAAAAGAAAGCAAAATTGGGCAAGAATATAAAAACATTATCAGAAATACACCAGCAATTGACCACTGCACAGAAAAGGTGATTTCAAACAGAACACGAGAAGTTTCAGAAAGATAGAATAAATAGAATAGAATAGAATAGAATAGAATAGAATAGAATAGAATAGAATAGAATAGAATAGAATAGAATAAAAGAATAGAATAGAATAGAATAGCATTTTTTTATTGGCCAAGTGTGATTGGACACACAAGGAATTTGTCTTTGGTGCATATGCTCTCAGTGTACATAAAAGAAAAGATACCTTCATCAAGAACCATAAGGTACAACACTTAATGATAGTCATAGGGTACAAATAAGCACTCATGGACCAAAAATTAAAATTTTGCTTTTACAATTTGCTCAGCAAAGTTTTAAAAATCTGCCTGGAGGAAATTTAAAAACGAAGATACAAGGGTAACATTTGAAGGGGGAAAAAAATCAGTTATATTTCCAGATATGTTTGGGGGTGATGGTGGAATAGGTATCTGTCCCATTTTGAAGTGGCCTGGTTATTTCCCTACCCAAATCATTTTAATACATTTTTGAAGAGTTCTTTTTTTAAAAAAAAAATTGTTATCCAACCTTTATTATTTTTATAAATAACTCAAGGGACCAAACATACCAATCTTCTTTCCCCCTCCTCTTTTCCCCACAACAACAACTCTGTGAGGTGGGCTGAGCTAGGAGAGAGAGAGAGAGAGAGAGAGAGAGAGAGAGAGAGAGAAGAGAGAGAGAGGGAGGGAGAGAAAGAAAGAAAGAGAGAGAGAGAGAGAAAGAGAAAGAGAAAGAGAAAGAGAGAAAGAGAAAGAAATAAAGAGAGAGAGAGAGAGAGAGAGAGAAGAGAGGGAGGGAGAGAAAGAAAGAAAGAGAGAGAGAGAGAGAAAGAGAAAGAGAAAGAGAGAAAGAGAAAGAAATAAAGAGAGAGAGAGAGAAAGAGAGAAAAGAGAGAGAGAAAGAGAGAGAGTGTGTGAAAGAGAAAGAGAAAGAAATAGAGAGAAAGAGAAAGAGAAGGAGAAAGAAATAAAGAGAGAGAGAGAGAGAGAAAGAAAAAGAAATAAAGAGAAAGAGAGAGAGAGAGAGAGAGAGAGAGAAAGAAATAAAGAGAAAGAGAGAAAGAGAAAGGGAGAGAGAGAGAAAGAAAGAAAGAGAAAGAGAAAGAGAGAGAGGGAGGGAGGGAGACTGGCCCAAGGTCAACCAGCTGGCTTTTAAGGCTATGGCGGGACTAGAACTCGCAGCCTCTTGATTTCTAGGCCAGCACTTTTTAACACCTATACCAAACGGGTGTGTGTGTGTGTCATTTTTTTTGACAGATAAGGGCAAATCAAATTAAGGGTTGCATTTCTGAAAGCATATACAGCACCCCCACCCGTCCTCCTTTCCTGGGAAAGAGAAATAAGCTGCTTAAGGGTTTCACCTTGATTGGTAACAATTCTTTCCTCCTCAAAAACCGAGACTTACTTCGTCGAAGGAACGACAATGTCAATGAAACTCTATGAAAACTGACGCGACCAGCTTTTAAAAGAAATGAGCAGTGTGTTCATGTAGAAGAAGAAGAAGAAGAAGGGTGATGTGGGGGAAAGGGGAGGGGGGCACGAGAGATCTGTCACTGACTTCTTGGTTAAAGTATTTTCTTGTTCTAACTCATGTTCTTATGTCACCCAGCTAAAAAAGAGAGAGAAGAGGGAGAGGAAGGGGGGGGGGAGAGAGAGAGAGAGAGAGAGAGAGAGAAGGATGACTCTCCTTGAATGATCTGTTTAACCTAAGCCAGAGGAAAAAAAAAAAAAAAGGCATTAATTACTTATGTGAGCTATTGCTTCTGAAAGACAATAAACCTGCCCTGTCGCCATGGTTATGACATATTTGCTCTGAAAACAACACAATAATTAGCAAAGGGGAAAGATACAAGGGGAATATGCAAACTCCTGGGTTTAAAGCCACAGCGTTTCTTTTCTGATGCCATGCTTTGTTTTTTTCACTTGTCCAGTTTGCAATTCAAATTATTTTTTTTTTAAAAAAAAGGGGGGGAGAAGAAGAAAAGAAAAGAAGAAGAAGAAGAAGAAGAAGAAGAAGAAGGAGAAGGAGAAGAAAGAGAAGGAGAAGGAGAAGAAGAAAGGAGAAGGAAAGGAGAAGAGAAGAAGAAGAAGAAGAAGAAGAAAAGAAGAAGAAGAAGAAGAAGAAGAAGAAGAAGAAGAAGAAGAAGAAGAAGAAGAAGAAGAAGAAGAAGAAGAAGAAGAAGAAGAAGAAGGGGAGGAGGAGGAGGAGGATGGAACAAGAAGCCACCCTCGAAAGATTGATTTAAAATAAGAAGAGAGTGGGGAGGGGAAAAAAAAACATTTGAACTCTAAGGAAGCAGCAATACAGAGCGCACAACACACAAGAGAATTAATAAGATTAAAAGCAATCAAGGATGCAGATTTCATCAGACAAGTCAGGTTCATTTGGCCTTATTTTAAAAGTCTGTTTAGGGCTGTTTTTGGCTAGAGCAATCGGAATATACGAGGGTTATAACGGTGGGTACGTTGCTAAAATTGGGAAGGGGGCAGAAGAATATTGGGAAATAAGTCCAAAGCTGTTGCAAAGGGAGAAAAGGAAGAAAACAAACATGGGCAGTTTGATGAAGCTCTGTCTAATTGGAAAAGGAGCTCAGTCATATTTTTAAGCCTATCACATTTGCCTTGCCTGTCAAGGAACAATGGCACCAGCTTGGCCCCATTGCTATAGCTGGGAACCTGCCCCCCCAAAACAAAAAAAAGTTTCCGCCAGCCTTAAATTGGATCCGGAGCAAACGCGTCCCGTGGCTGTCCAGTTAAATCGTGAAACTTTTTAACGTTGAGAAAAGGGAATTAAAAAGTTTACTGGGTAATTTGTGACCTTGAAGACTTGCACACAAAAAAAACCCTGCTTCGAAACAAGTTATGTTATGTCCCTCTTTCAAAAAAATAATGCTTTACAAGATCTATCCTGAAGTGTATTAAAAGTTACTGGGGGGGGAAATATATATATATATGTATTTGATGTTAAGATTTATTTTAACACGAAGGAGAAAAATGCAACAGACTTTTATTTGCTCTGGTCATTGATTCTGTGCCTCGTAAGACAAGTACGTTAAGGAGAAGGCCTTTACAAATTGCTCATGATTTTTCTGTTCCTGCATTCAAGACAGAATCACTCAAGATCAGAGTCCAATTAACACATACAAAGCACACAATTAAAAACCTTCAACTTTCTGTCCGCTCCACTTCTTTGGCGTCAATCCTTTTCTTAACACATTCATATGGAAACTGCCAGTTGGACAACCAAAAATACACAGCTTGGCAAACAAGCAACCCCCAAAAAAGGAAGAAGAAAAAAATCTCCAAAAGACACAACGCTGCTCCTTTAAACTCTTTTAACACATATGGAGTTTGATTTCTTGAAGAGATCAGTTTAACATCTCCATAGAAACCAGCAACAGATTATTATCAACAGAATAAATAAGTGGCCTGATAAATTAAACAGACGACAAGAGATCTGGAAACTTGATTCACCAAAGTCCACCAATATTCTGCATTTTCCCAGCCTTCCTAGGCAATCCGGGATGGAGAAAAGGTGGCAACCGAACGCAAATAGTTTATCTTGTGTTTGTGTGTGCACACGTATAGATGGACGCGAAGGACAAATGGAACTGAGACGAGAGAGCAGGACAAAGGCGAGGAACTGTGGAGTAAAGATGTAGGTAATCCCGAATACGGTACCATATGGCTTGGAAGGAAGGAACTTGTGTTTTGTGTGTGTGTGTGATGGAAAAAAAATATGTCGAGAGAGGAAGGCACACATGGAATTTATTAATCTAGTTCATAGAAAGTTTCACTCCACTCCCACAGACGCCAGAATAGATCGAAACCACAGTTCTTTCACATCAAACCTTTCGCAAAGCAACTTCTTCGAGAAGTTTTCTCAGGCACCAAATTGCAAAGGGGTGGGAGTGGGGGAATATTAAAAAATAATAAAAATATCTAAGGAACACCTGCTGATGAACAAGCCCAATTCCACATGGACCTTTGACCCAGCTCCTTCTTCTCATCCCTGCTGCTGAACTATATTGCCCAAAGGTCTGATGGACCGGATTTCCCCCAGGGCCCTGGGCTTGGTGAAAGGCTCCAGCGTGGAGTGAACATTTGCCATATGGACGTAAAATCCCTCGCCTTTTGTATTGTGAGAACGCATCAACATTCTTTCTAGCCAAATCTGCCCACCCTCCACCCCAGGGGGAAAAAAAAGGGTTTTATACATTCATGCATAATTTTACGCAGGCCATATCAAACTATTCCTCTCTCCTTCCAATCCAGTGTCGAAATTTGATGGTTTTTTTTTTAAAATATGGAATGACATTTAGGTAGAAAGTGAGAAGCTCAATGTTTTTACTTCAAAAGGGGAGAGAAGCATCATGAAGGGGGGAAATATGTTGTTAATTTCAGAGAAGAAGAGATGGTCTCTTTTTTCCTCCAGGATTTTTTTTCCCCCCCAACTGAATGAACCCAACGTCTTCCGGTCTCCCCGGGAACAGAATCACCTTTCATTCCCCATCATTCTGCCTCCTAACCCCGCTGTTAAAGGATGATGAGAACTGTAGTCCAAGCTTCCTGATGAGCTTCCCAGCCTTCTCGCTGTGCCTTTAAAGGGACAGATTTGGGCATTGGCACCTCTCACACCTAAGTTGACCCAACCTCTCTCTCGCCTACGAATGCGCCCCAAGCCGAAAGATTTCTTTTTGTGACTTTTGCTACTCTCCAGAAGTTTCTTCTTTCCTACTACTATGATTGTTGCCGTTGTTATTATTACTAAAAACAAAACAAAAAACCCAGTATCCCCACTCCCAGCTGTCAGCTTCCTCGCAGAAGGCTTGGATTTTGACTGACAGCTGAACACCTGTTCCCCTTGTCCCGGGAGCAGCCAAAGATGGAGAGGAACCTTCATTAAAATCCCACTCATCCCAGAGCCCCCCCCTCTTTCCCAACTCCACCCCTATGCGGAGCCAGGCACCCCGCCCCTGGCCTGATAGGAAGGGCACAAGCCTACCCTCCTCCCTTATCTCTAGCCTTACTCCAAGTAGGAGATTAAAAAGAGAGAGCAAAAGGAAAAGGAAACGGGAGGTGGGCCAGGGGACCCCCCCCCAGATCAGTTGCTCTCTTTGCAAATGCAAATTGGGTGTAAAATCAATAGCCACTTCAAAGGGGAGGGGGACCATCCCCGATCACTTTCTCCCAACCCAAAGCGGAGAAAGTTCAAAGCTTTGGATCCCCCCAAAACAAGCGCGCAGCGAGGCCAACGGTGAGCTTCGCGCAGCGGGCAGGCGGGCGACACTCGCCCCGAGGCTACCTGGAGCTCCGGACCCAGCACGCTTCTCTCTCTCTCTCTCTCTCTCTCTTTCCCTTTCTCTCTCTTTTTCTCTCTTTCTCTCTCTTTCTCCCTCTTTCTCTCTTTCTCTCTTTTTCTCTTTTTCTTTCTCTTTCTCTCTCTCTTTCTCTCTCTTTTTCTCTCTTTCTTTCTCTTTTTCTCTTTCTCTCTCTCTCTCTCTCTCTCTTTCTCTCTCTCTCTTTCTCTCTCTTTTTCAAAAGCCCAAAAATCCACCCGGGGGTCTTCTCTCCAAATTACCAGCGGTGGCTCCTACTTCGGCCAAACTTTGAAAGCCTGACTAGGTCTGATTGAGTCTTCGGAGAAAGGCGGCATACAAGTTGAACAAATAAATAGGTGGCTCCGTGGCTAAAGACGCCGAGTTTGTCCATCGGAAACGACCGGCAGTTCGATTCCCTAAGTCCAGGTCTCCTGCGTGAGCGGGGTGGGGGGGGGGGGGGGGGGGGGGGGGGAGAGGGGTTGAGAAAAGAAGAAGCAGCAGCAGCAACTCCGACAACGATCCTGCTAGTTATAAGCGTTCGGGTCCCCGCGTGTCCTTCCACCCACCTCCGTTCGCTCGGGCAAACTTTCTCCGGGCAATACGGTAGGTGCGGAGGAGAGAACCAAGTGCGACTTTTCCAACACGGGCAGCCCAAGCCGGAGAGCCTCGCCTGCCTGTCAAACGCTCCCCCTGCTCCTCCTCCTCCTTCCTCCTTCCTCCTCCTCCTCCCCAGCGTTTTGCACTCTTTGCAAACTCCCGGGGAAATTGGCTCCCGGTGTGTGTTTGGGGAGGGGGGGGAGAGGGAGTCTCGCCGGTTAAGCCCACCCGAGTTCCGCGTGTTCTGCCGGGTCGACCGAGCGCGCTCTCTCTCTCTTTCTTTCTTTCTCTTTCTCTCTCTTTCTTTCTCTCCCTCTCTCTCTTTCTCCTCTCTCTCTTTCTCCTCTCTCTCTTTCTCTCTTTCTCTCTCTCCCTCTTTTTCTCTTCTCTCCCTCTCTCTCCCTCTCTTTCTCTCTCTCTCTTTCTTCTCCTTCTCTCTCCCTCTCTTTCTCTCTCTCTCTCTCTCTTCCTCTTTCTCTCTCTCTTTCTCTCTCTCCAGAAGCAGGGCAACCGGGGAGCGAAGGGGGGGGGAAGGAGAAATAAAAAGAAAAAGCGGCGCTTTCGCCCACCGTGCGCGCTTTTCCCACCCCCGAACTCCAGTTGACCCAAGTCCTGGAAGCGGCCGGCATCTCTCTCGCATCCAGCCCAACCCAACCCAACCCAGGCTCGGGCTCCCTCCGAGGAAGAAGAAGAAGAAGAGCCGCCACCTGCGAGCGAGAAAAGGGGGCCGATGCCAAGGAGCGTGGCCGCGAAGGAAGCGCTTCCCACCCACCCACCAACCCCTACTCCACTCTCCGGGAATCCGAAGCCAGCGCGCAAAAGCCGCGCTTCTCCGGGCGATCCTTTCCCTCGGTTCGCAGAAAGACAAAATACTCCACCCTCCTGCCCGGGATCTGCGCAGAGCCAAAGATCACACGCACTCATTCCCCGGGCCGGCCCGCTGCCTCTGGATGCCGGTGCGCGACCCCCCCCCCCCCCCCCCTTTTTTTTTTTTGCAGCCCCGGATTCTTTTCCCCGGCCGCCCCGCGCTCCAGGCGCCGCTTCTTCGCTTTGCTTTTTTGCCCCAAGCGCGCACTTAAAAAAAAAAGAGTGGCAGCCCGGGGAATATATGGGGAGCGGGGGGGGGGGGGTTGTTTGGAAGAGAGAAAAAAAGTGCACGTCCGAACGGTTCGCGGAGACCCCCGGGAAGGAAAGAGCCCCGGACCGTCCGCAGAAGATCCGGGACGGGGCGAGGCAAAGGTCTTACCTGCACTTGAGCTGCTTTGGGTGACTTTCCAAGTACAGGGAAATTGTCTTGTGTTTGGGATGGAGGGTTCGGAGCGCGCATGCGCCATCTAAGTTGCCCTGATCCGGGATTTTTTTTTCACCCCCCCCCCCCCACCACCGCTCCGTCTCTCCATTTTGCTTTAATTATTGAATTTTCCAATTTCTACCGAGGGGGGGCGGGCGGCACGCAAAACCCGGCATGGATTTTCCACCGGCTGCTTGCCAGGAGAGGGGAAAGGAGAGAGGGGAAAAAAACAAAAAACAAGGAATGGACTTATTTTTTTCTCCCCCCCCCCACCCCAAAGGGAACTCTAGGTAAGCAGAGGCGGCTGGAAAACCCGGAGTGGAGATAAGCTCTCTGACAACTCTTTTCTGCTCCTTTTTTTTTTTTTTTTACAACATCGGGCTTCCTCCTGCGGGCGATTTCTCCCTCTTCGGCCCAAACACAAACCCAAGCTTCCCTTCCCTGGCTTGCATCCTTTCCCCCAAAATAACCGAGGCCCAACTTTTTGCCATCTCTCTTAGCAGGTGATGATTCCGCCTCCTTTATCACCTGCTAAGGAAGAGTTCTCAGCAGGGGTGAAACCCAATTTTTTTTAAACTACCGGTTCTGTGGGCGTGCCTTGGTGGGGGGCGTGCCTTGGTGGGCGTGGCAAGGGAAGGATACTGTAAAATCTCCATTCCCACCCCTGGGGAAAGGATACTGCAAAATCCCCATTCCCTCCCCATTTCTGGGGGAAGGATACTGCAAAATCTCCATTCCCAGCCCACTCCAGGGAAAGGATACTGCAAAATCTCCATTCCCACCCCACTCCAGGGAAAGGGTACTGCAAAATTCCCATTCCCTCCCCACTCCAGGGGAAGGATACTGCAAAATCTCCATTCCCTCCCCATTTCTGGGGGAAGGATATTGCAAAATCTCCATTCCCACCCCACTCCAAGGAAAGGATACTGCAAAATCCCCATTCCCACCCCACTCCAGGGGAAGGATACTGCAAAATCCCCATTCCCACTCCACTCCAGGGAAAGCATACTGCAAAATCCCCATTCCCCCCCCACTCTGGGGCCAGCCAGAGGTGGTATTTGCCGGTTCTCCGAACTGCTCAAAATTTCCACTACTGGTTCTCCAGAACCTGTTAGAACCTGCTGGATTTCACCTCTGCCCAGCACGCACAATATTTACAAACGCAAGGCCAACCGCTCCGAACTCGATTGCAGAACGTACAACTTCAGCTAACAGAGTGGTCAAATAAATGCCTGGAATGCACTTAACCTGACTCCGGTGGTCTCTTCCCCAACCCCCCCCCCCAAAAAAAACTTTTAACAGTAACAAGAGTTGGAAGGGACCTTGGAGGTCATCTAGCCCAACCCCCTAGATGACCTCCAATCTAGGTTTCCACTCCCAGAATTCCCCAGCCAGCCTGCTTTAAGAGGGGTGGACTTCAACTCCCAGAATTCTCCAGCCAGCCTGCTTTAAGAGGGGTGGACTTCAACTCCCAGAATTCCCCAGCCAGCCTGCTTTAAGAAGGGTGGACTTCAACTCCCAGAATTCTCCAGCCAGCCTGCTTTAAGAGGGGTGGACTTCAACTCCCAGAATACCCCAGCCAGCCTGCTTTAAGAGGGGTGGGCTTCCACTCCCAGAATTCCCCAGATTCTGGGAGTGGAGGAGACCTGGACTAGGGATTTGAACCACTGGACTTGCCGACCTTTCTGATCGACAAGCTCAGCGTTTTAGCCACTAGTCAAATTTTAACCTTAGACTGTCTACTGTTGACCTCACCCCATTCCTAAGACGTCTGTAAGGGGGCGTCCATAAGCGCAGCAGCGTGCCTTCCGTCCCTGTCCTACTGTCCCCATTTATTCATATCCATTTCCTGTATTCATACCAGTGATGGGATTCAGCCGGTTCGCACCAATTCGGGAGAACCGGTTGTTAACTTTCTGAGCAGTTTGGCAAACTGGTTGTTGGAAGAAATCATTAGGGCAGAGAACCGGTTGTTAAAATTACTTGAATCCCACCACTGATTCATACCCATGTTTATACTTATATCTGTTCTCTAATACATGCTTGACAAAACAAACAAACAAACAAACAAACAAACAAACAAATAAACAAATAAAATTTAGCATGGGGGTTTCACAAGTGGAATAGAATAGAATAGAATAGAATAGAATAGAATAGAATAGAATAGAATAGAATAGAATATATCCAAATTTAAAGCCCAACTGTTGGAAATGTGGACAAAAGGAAGGTACCTTCTTTCACACATGGTGGTTATGCTCTGAAACAAAAAAAAATTGGATGAAAAGACATAGTTGGATACAGGAAGTTACAGGCTTCCAAATAGAATATACACCAGAACTGTTTCTTCTAGGAATAATGAAAAAGAAATATGGAAAAAACGACAACGTATATTATTCTACATATGACAACGGCAGCAAAATTGGCATTTGCGCAATGTTGGAGAAGTTCGAACACGCCCTCCGAAGATCTAATAATTAGAAAGATATTAGATTGCCCCGAGATGGATAAAATGACATTGGAACTGAAAGGACAGCTGGATTCGGACTTTTACGTAATATGGGAGAAATGGTATAATTGGATTGAAGATAGAATAAAAAAAGGGAAATAACAGTCGATTTTGTAAAATTATAAAGAGTATAGGAGAATATTAGTGTGATGATATGTAAATGGTCGTGCACAAGAGTTGAATAAGAATTGTTTAATTTTTAAAACCCAATAAAACTCAAATAATAAAAAAAGAAGAAGAATAGAATAGAATTCTTTATTGGCCAAGTGTGGCATAAGGTCTCTTCAAAGAAAAGAGACTTGGGCATTTCCACTCTTCTGTTTAGTTTAGCTTTTTTTCTTTCTGGCCAGGAAGAAAGGGCTCGCTGTGATCTTTTGGGGAAGGGGACCGGGGGTCGGAGTGGGGGGCTGGATTTGGTTTGCAAAAGAAATGCAGACTTGGGACCCCTACGGATGACTTTTTAGGGAATACACCTCACTTTGCCCACAGATGTTAAGTTATCAGGCTTTCCAAAAATCCTATTCTGCTCTTTTCTCTTTCCAACTCTGTTCCAACTATATTAGTGGGGACATCTTTGCTTACCATAGATACCTCATGGCCTTAATGTCTATTTGGAAACAAACCTCTCTGTGTGTGTGTGTTTTCTAGGTGGTGGGGACAACCAAACCTCCTCCTATTTCTATACAGTTAAACACATACTTTAGGCCAGGGATCTGCAACCTTAAAACACTCAAAGAGCAATCTGAACTTGTTTCCCACAGAAAAGAAAACACCGGGAGCCACAAAAACCTTCCCGTGCCTGACTATTTCTTGAGCGGCCACAAAACTAGCATATGTAGTCGAATTAAACATTCTGTTTTCTTCTGAAACTTTTCTTTTCTTGGATTTATCTATGGTGGGACTACCAAGGGTTGAAAAGCTAAATAAATCACGTGCCGGTGGGTGTTGCACATTGGCGGTTGTGACGCATATTTTGAGTGACAGGGAGCCGCAGCAGAGGGGTGAAAGAGCCACATGCAGCTCCAGAGCCACAGGTTGCTGACCTCTGGCTTAAGCAATAAGATTACTTGCAGTCGCGCATGTGTTGTGTAGCTAGATAGATGGGGCAATAAATAATAAATTAATGAGTAGCAGACTCAACCCCTCCAAGACCGAGTGGCTGTGGCTTCCGGCGCCCCGATATAGTCAGCAGGTGCCATCGCTAACTATTGGGGGTGAATCTCTGCCCCCCACAGAGAGGGCTCGCAATCTGGGTGTCCTTCTGGATGCACGGCTGTCCTTAGAAGAGCATATGACGGCCGTGGCCAGGGGGGCCTTTTATCAGGTTCGCCTGATTCACCAGTTGCAGCCCTTTCTGGATCGGGACGCCCTACGCACGGTCACTCATGCCCTTGTTACTTCCCGGTTGGACTATTGTAATGCTCTCTACATGGGGCTCCCCTTGAAGAGCACTTGGAGGCTCCAACTGGTCCAGAATGCAGCCGCGCGGGTGGTTATGGGCGCAACTCGTTGTGCCCATGTGACACCCCTCCTGCGCGAGCTGCACTGGCTCCCAGTGGTCTTCCGGGTGCGATTCAAGGTGTTAGTTACCACCTTTAAAGCACTCCATGGCATAGGACCCGGGTACCTCCGAGACCGTCTTCTGCCACCAATAGCCTCCCACCGACCAGTCCGTTCCCACAGGGAGGGTCTCCTCAGGGTGCCGTCAACCAAGTTATGTCGACTGGCGACGCCCAGAGGGAGGGCCTTCTCTGTGGGAGCCCCAGCCCTGTGGAACGAACTACCCCCGGAAATTCGTAAGATCTCCGACCTCCGGGCGTTTCGCTGCGCACTGAAGACCCTGTTGTTCCGCCAGGCCGGACTAACAACACAATAGTTTTTAAATTGGGATATTTAAATTTATTGGGGTTTTAAATCTGAGCCACTTTATTTAATTATTTTAAATTTTATATTGTTGTTTTCTTTGTGTTTTTAAACAGGCTGTACACCGCCCCGAGTCCTTCGGGAGAAGGGCGGTATAGAAATAAAATTATTATTATTATTATTATTATTATTAAACAGGCCCCTCTGGTGCTCTGTCCCTCCCTTTTTTCAATGAATACCCCACACGTCCGAAATCTTGGCACAACAGCACTAACCAACTGAGCTGTCCAACACCTGTAGCAAGCATCTGGAAACGGTGGGTGAGACCAGGTTCTGCTTTCCCAGGGGTTCAGCACCCAACTATAGGGAATACAGGAAGAAAATACAAAGAGAATCTTCTTTCATTGACTTGTCAAATTCTTAATGAAAAGGGGAAGGTGGCATAGTCACATCATACTTGATCACGTTTCAGTCCAAAATCTATCCCTGTCAGTTCCCTGGGAATTTAAGAGGGGTAGCGAAAAGGCAGATATAACCTACCGTTTAGGACAGGGGTCTGCAACCTTAAACACTCAAAGAGCCATTTGGACCCGTTTCCCACAGAAAAGAAAACACCGGGAGTCACAAAACTCTCCCCGTGCCTAACTATTTCTTGAGCGGCCACAAAACTAGCCTATGTCGTTGAATTAAATATTCTGTTTTCTTCTGAAACTTTTTATTTCTTGGATTTATCCATGATTGGCCTACCGGAGGTTGAAAAGCTCAATCAATCACGTGCCGGTGGGTATCGCACATTGGCGGTTACGACGCATATTTTGAGTGACAGGGAGCCGCAGCAGAGGGGTGAAAGAGCCACATGCGGCTCCAGAGCCGCAGGTTGCTGACCCCTGGTTTAGGAAATCTGTTGACTTTCCCCTATACTTTTTTTTTTTAAAAATAGGTGAAACTTCCAAAGGAGCTTTGAACTTAAGAGTCCTTAATGTGGCATGTTGGGGTCTTAAGTCAGTTCTTCTGCTTTTTAATCACTGCAGAACTTTTTCGTGGGAATACCTCTCTACTCTATCCAGGGCCTTCCGAGCCAGCAGAACTAGAAGCAAGGATCGCTCTGCATGTCTACAGCCTTTATTAAACACCAGGTGACTTATTTTGAGCAAATATGTTAAATGTATTTTACGAGATGAAAACAAGGGGAAACACGCTGATCGCTTGCTGCATTTTAACACGGCATTGAATTCCTCCCTTAATTCTTCCTTTCTCTGGAAAAAAAACCCGAATAAATGAACTGCTCAGGAGCAGCAGCCTCTCTTCAGCCTTAAATGCTGTCATATCTGCTTTCATTTCTCCTCCCCCCCCCACCTTATTGTCAGTTTACTAAAAGCAATTAGAGCGTATCAAAGAACCACTGTTTGCCAAGTGCCATTTTCTCACATGAAACTTTTGCTCTTGGGTTACACATTATTAAAAAAAAAAAAGAAAGAAAGAAAAAGTCTTAATCAGGCAAATATTTACATGGAAAGCTAACTTTCCTTCCACAGATAGACACAGACGGTACCCCCAGCAGAGCTGCTGAAAACGGATAGAAATTCCAGCGGTGCTGATGGAACAAAGGCTCCCAATGCAAAATTTCTCCCTCAAACTTCCTTTGAATAGCTAAGTTAGTTTTGTTTGCTTTTTAATCAATCTCTGACCCTTGCCCTTCCGCAGGGTAGATTGCCCTCATAAGGCAGTTCGCCAAAATAAAAATTTAAAAAATGAAAGTGCGCAGAATCCCGTTCAAAACCATTGGCTGCAAATAGTGAAACTGAAACGTTTCCAGCCTTGGCTATAATATAAAGAATAGAGTAGAGTAGAGTAGAGTAGAGTAGAGTAGAGTAGAGTAGAGTAGAATTAGAGTAGAGTAGAGTAGAGTAGAGTAGAGTAGAGTAGAGTAGAGTAGAGTAAAGTAGAATTAGAGTAGAGTAGAGTAGAGTAGAGTAGAGTAGAGTAGAGTAGAGTAGAGTAGAGTAGAGCAGAGCAGAGCAGAGCAGAGCAGAGCAGAGCAGAGCAGAGCAGGAGTCTCCAACCTTGGCAACTTTAAGACCTCTGGACTTCAACTCCCAGAGTTCCTCAGCCAGCTTTGGCCTCTGCGGAAGAGGTTGCAGAAAAAAATGCTTTTAAAAGGCTCTGACAATCCCAGCTGAGCCGCGCAATCATCAGAGGCTTTTTTTTTAACTTTTAAAAGCATTTTTTCAGCCGAAGAGGTTGTAGAAAAAATGCTTTTAAAAGTGGGGTGTGTGGTGCGCAGGGATTTTTGCTACCGGTTCTCCGAACCACCCGCCGCCATCGCTACCGGATCGGGCGATCCGGTCCGAACCGGGAGCATTTCACCCCTGCTACCGGAGGTTGAAAAGCTCAATAAATCACGTGTCGGCGGGTGTCGCACATTGGCGGTTGTGACGCATATTTTGAGTGACAGGGAGCCGCAGCAGAAGGGTGAAAGAGCCACATGCGGCTCCAGAGCCGCAGGTTGCTGACCCCTGGAGTAGTTGACCTCCAAGGTCCCTTGCAACTCTGTTACTGTTAATCAAGCCATTCTTTCCCTTTGCAGGCTTATGACCATCTCTCTTAAGACGTCGTTTACGATGTTGGCTGGACTGGTCCTTTGCTGGGCTCTTTGACAGCTTACTTGGCATGTCCATCCCTTTTGCTCATTTGAGTGTGAATATGATTCTTTCTAACCCCTTGTTAAAAAGGGGGCCTCGCCTGGCCCGCTGCAGCTGGCGTGCTCCCAGTTTATTGTGTTACTCCCACAATCAGAAAGGAACGTGTGGCATTGCTCAAGGGCGCCCCTTGAGTCGGAAAGTGAGAAGAAAGCTAATAGGGAAGACCCTCCGGGAAAAAAGGGTATCTGGATTGCCACGCTTTGGCTGCCTTGGTAGTACAGTGGTTTAATGCACCCTGTTATTAACATCAGCTGCCTGCAATTTCTGTAAGTTCGAATCTTACCAGGCTCAAGGTTGACTCAGCCTTCCATCCTTTCTAAGGTAGGTTAAATGAGGACCCAGTTTGTGGGGGGCAATAAGCTGACTTTGTATAAATATACAAAAGTGTGAAGGCTATTGCTTAACGCATTGTAAGCCGCCCTGAGTCTCGAGAAGGGCGGCATATAAATCAAATTTAAAAAAAAAGAAAAGAAAGAGAAGGAAGGAAGGAAGGAAGGAAGGAAGGAAGGAAGGAGGGAGGAAGGAAGGAAGGAAGGAAGGAAGGAAGGAAGGAAGGAAGGAAGGAAGAAAGAAAGAAAGAAAGAAAGAAAGAAAGAAAAGAAAGAAAGAAAGAAAGAAAGAAAGAAAGAAAGAAGCTGACTTTGTATAAATATACAAAAGTGTGAAGGCTATTGCTTAACGCATTGTAAGCCGCCCTGAGTCTCCGGAGAAGGGCGGCATATAAATCAAATTTTAAAAAAAAGAAAAGAAAGAGAAAGAAGGAAGGAAGGAAGGAAGGAAGGAAGGAAGGAAGGAAGGAAGGAAGGAAGGAAGGAAGGAAGGAAGGAAGGAAGGAAGGAAAGCTGACTTTGTATAAATATACAAAAGGATGAAGGCTATTGCTTAGCGCATTGTAAGCCGCCCTGAGTCTCAAGTGTGAAGGCTATTGCTTAACGCATTGTAAGCCGCCCTGAGTCTCCGGAGAAGGGCGGCATATAAATCAAATTTTAAAAAAAAGAAAAGAAAGAGAAAGAAGGAAGGAAGGAAGGAAGGAAGGAAGGAAGAAAGAAAGAAGGAAGCTGACTTTGTATAAATATACAAAAGGATGAAGGCTATTGCTTAGCGCATTGTAAGCCGCCCTGAGTCTCCGGAGAAGGGCGGCATATAAATCAAATTAAAAAAAAAAAAAAAGAAAGAAATTGAGATGCATCCTTCTCTTTCTCCCGAGATGACAAAATTACATCGCTTTCATCAACAGACCCAGGATTGCATCAATAAGCCAGAGAATTCTACATCTTTCATCCTGTCCAATGTGGTGAAGAGCTACTAGTCTGAGCCAAGATTTAATTTAATTTAATTTAATTTAATTTCGAATTTATATACCGCCCTTCTCCCTGAGGACTCAGGGCGGTGTACAGCCAAGATAAAAAACATAGAATACAAATATTAAAACATTTAAAAATATATATAAAATTTGGCCCAAAAAATTAAAAATCACAGACTAATTAAAAGGATTTAAAAGTTTTAAAATTTCTTCTTAAGCCAACCCGGCTTGCTGGAAAAGATAGGTTTTCAGGGAACGACGGAAGGCATTGAGGTCCTGGATTCTTCTTATTCCGGGGGCAACTGATTCCAGAAGAGGGTGGGAGCCCCCACAGAGAAAGCCCTCCCCCTGGGGGCCACCAGCCTGCATTGTTTGGCGCTGATGGCACCCTGAGGAGGCCCTCTCTGTGGGAGCGCACGGGTCGATGGGAGGTCATCGGTAGCAGTAGGCGGTCTCGGAGATAGCTAGGCCCTATGCCATGGAGCGCTTTAAAGGTGATAACCAACACCTTGAAGCGCACCCGGAAGACCACCGGGAGCCAGTGCAGCTCGCGCAGGAGTGGTGTTACATGGGAGCGCCATGTTGCTCCCATCACTACCCGCGCTGCTGCATTCTGGACCAGCTGGAGCCTCCGGGTGCTCTTCAAGGGGAGCCCCATGTAGAGAGCGTTACAGTAGTCAAGGCGAGAGGTGACGAGGGCATGAGTGACTGTGCACAGGGAATCCCGATCAAGAAAGGGCCGCAACTGGCGAATCAGGCGAACCTGATAAAAGGTCCCCCTGGTAACAGCCGTCAGATGTTCCTCCAAAGACAGCTGCCTATCCAGGAGGACTCCCAGATTGCGAGCCCTTTCAGTGGGGGCCAAAGACTCGCCCCCAATAGTCAGTGATGGAGTCAACTGACTATATCGGGATGCCGGGAGCCACAGCCACTCAGTCTTGGAAGGGTTGAGCCTGAGCCTGTTCCTCCCCATCCAGATCCGCACAGCCTCCAGGCACTGGGACATCACTTCAAGGGCATCGTTGGGGTGGCCTGGGGTGGAGATGTACAGCTGGGTGTCATCAGCGTACTGGTGGTATCTCACCCCAAAGCCACGGATGATCTCGCCCAGCGGCTTCACATAAATGTTGAACAGAAGGGGCGAGAGGACCGATCCCTGCGGCACTCCACAAATGAGAGGCCTCGAGGTCGACCTCTGCCCCCCTGCCAACACAAACTGCGACCGGTCGGAGAGAAAGGAGGAGAACCACCGTAACACGGTGCCTCCCACCCCCAACTCTTCCAGCCGGTGCAGCATGATACCATGGTCGATGGTATCAAAAGCCGCTGAGAGATCTAATAGGACCAGAACAGAGGAATAACCCCTGTCCCGAGCCCTCCAGAGATCATCAACCAGCGCGACCAATGCCGTTTCCGTGCTGTGCCCAGACCTGAAACCTGACTGGAACGGATCCAGATAGGATGTTTCCTCCAGGAATTGTGGAAACTGTTGCGCGACCACACTCTCAACAACCTTCGCAATGAAGCGAAGGTTGGAGACAGGACGATAGTTAGCCAATATTGCTGGGTCCAGGGACGGCTTCTTGAGGAGAGGCCTCACCACCACCTCTTTCAGGGCAGCGGGGAAGTGACCCTCACTCAAGGAAGCATTAATAACGCCCTGGAGCCAGCCTCGTGTAACCTCCCGGGAAGCCAGTACCAACCAGGAGGGACACGGGTCCAGTAAACATGTGGCCGCACTAAGTCTCCCCAAAATCCTGTCCACATCATCGGGAGTCACAGCATCAAACTCCTCCCAGATAACATTCTCAAGACTGTTCCTCGTCACCCTGCCCTGATCTACCCAGTCAGAGTCCAAATCCCCCCGGATCTGAGCGATTTTGTCATACAGGTATTGTCCGAAATCCTCCGCCCTGCCTTCTAAGGGATCCTCCCGCACTCCCAGATGGAGCAGGGCGCGGGTCACCCTAAACAGGGCGGCCGGACGATTCCCTGATGACGCAATAGAGGCGGAAAAGTAGTTAGACTTTGCCGTCTTTATCGCCACTAGGTAGGTCTTAATATGCGACCTTACCAGTGTTCGATCAGATTCAGCGAGACTGGCCCTCCAACCGCTCTCCAGGCGTCTTTTCCGGCGCTTCATTTCCCTCAGCTCCTCAGTAAACCAAGGAGCCACCCGGGATCGGCATCGGGTCAGAGGCCGCAAAGGCACAACTCGGTCCAAGGCCCCACCAGCCGCCCGATCCCAGGCGGCTACCAGGTCCTCGGCCGAGTCATGTGCTAGATCCTCAGGAAATGGCCCAAGCTCCGTCTGGAACCTATCAGGATCCATCAGGCGCCTGGGGCGGATCCATCTAATTGGATCCGCCTCCCTGCGGCGAGGGGTCGCGGTTCGAAGATCTAGGCGAAGGAGTGAGTGGTCAGTCCATGACAAGGGTTCCATGTCTATATCCCCTATAACAAGACCACTCAACCACTGGCCAGAGACAAAAATCAGATCCAGAGTGTGACCTCCCCTGTGAGTAGGGCCATGAACTAACTGGGTCAGGTCCATGGCCGTCATGGAAGCCATGAACTCCCGAGCCACCTCAGACGTTTCACCGACAGATGGCAAGTTGAAATCACCCATGACTAAAAGCCTGGGTGTATCTACTGCCACCGTAGTATGGTACATCAGATGGTACATCAATGCTGATTAGCCACGCAAGTGAATGGGAACGGCATGTCCGATAGAGCAGCGGTCACCAACTGGTGGTTCCATGGACCACTGGTAGTCCATGAGAAAATTTTGGTGGTTCGCAGAAAAATTATTTGCATTTCTTATATTGCACTAAATCAGGGGTTCTCAAACTACGGCCCCTGGGCTGGATATATTGCAATGAATGTTTGTGTTGCTGCAGAGAGTCTCCCCCTTCAGGGTCTTTTTGTGTGGGTCGCAGGGGGGCAGAAATTCCGACTTGGGGTCTGCTTCAGCCTCCTGGTGTGGGGCTTTGGGTGAAGGCTGGAGGGAAGCGTCGCTGGTGGCGAAGAGCCAGAGGGCCTTGTTCCAGTGGGAGTGCATCATGGCCTGGAACTGGCTGACCATCTCAGCCCGCTGAGCCTCCAGGCGCCCGCACCTGGCCTTGCACTCCCGCAGGTCTTCCCTCTGCTTGGAAAGCCTATGCTCCTAGTCCTCGGTGAGGTGCTTCTGCTGAGCCTCCTTCTCGGTCAGATCCATTTTTTTATTTTATTTTTTAATTTGATTTATATGCCGCCCTTCTCCGGAGACTCAGGGCGGCTTACAATGCGTTAAGCAATAGCCTTCATACTTTTGTATATTTATACAAAGTCATCTTATTGCCCCCACAAACTGGGTCCTCAATTTACCTACCTTTGAAAGGATGGAAGGCTGAGTCAACCTTGAGCCTGGTGAGATTCGAACTTAACAGTCATTGCAGACAGCTGGTGTTAATCACAATGCTATCAGTTTGCTGAGCCACCAGCATTTGAACCAAGCCAGCTGTTTTGCCAACTCTTTCTCATGGTGGCTGCTTAGCTCCAACAACTGCTTTCTGTTGGGCCTTTCTAAGGAGCCCAGGCTGGCAGGTGAGGAGTGGCTGGGAAGGGAAGGGCGAGTAGAGGCCATGCAGATGTGAGTAACATCGAGTTGGCCACGCCCACTCAGTCACATGACCACCTAGCCACGCCCACCCAGCCGCTCATTAGGCAGATCGTATTAGTGATCCGCGGGATTTAAAATTATGAATTTAGTGGTCCCTGAGGTCCGAAAAGTTGGTGACAGCCTCTCAACTCCAGTCCTTCAGGCACTGTCTTCATGAATTTCTGGACGAATCTCCTTGAGACGCAGGACGTTGACCGAGGTCGGCCTTTTGGATTCATCCAGCGGCATCTTTCTTCGGCTCAAAAGGCTGAGCGCTCCCTAGAAATTCCTTGAATATTTGACATGCAGCAATTTATTTCTTTTTTTTTAAAAAAAAGGTATGCGGTAACTGGGGCTTGGATACCTGAGTTAATATTACAAGGTAGTAAAACGTGGCAGGGAAGGAGGTGAGGGCCATCGGAAAGGCTAAACTGCAGGCATTATTTATGACCAAAACAATAAAGGAACCCGATGGGTAGGGGGGGTGAGTAGAGAGAGAGAGAGAGGGAGGGAGGGGAAGCCTATATCCAGACAAACCAATGTTAGGTAACGACAAAGTCATTTTCCTTTGATTATTTTTCAATAGGGTACATATGTTGAATGCCTGTTTTTTTTCTTTTCCCCTTTCTCTCTCCAGGGCCTGCTGCTCGCGGTTCCCATCTAATCTACTCTGCAGATTTCAATGCCTTCAACGGGGAAGGAGAAAGAGGTTGCCAGGCCTCCTGCGCGTTAAAATGGGACAGTTTAGAAAGATGAATTCGTCTTGTGAGCAACCTGATAGATGTCAAAGAATCATCGCTTGGCATTCACTCACGTAGTCGTCTGCTTCATTTAACAATCCCGGCCAAATGGGAGGGGGGGGGAGGGAGGGGGAAAATCAAGGACAATGATACTCATGTGACAGCTCCTATACATATTTACTCAGCTATATAATCCCCACAACTTCTCATGGAAATTATTCCCCCAAAGCCTTGGCCATGGTGACTGGGGTTAGTTAAGAGTCTATGCTATAGTCCAGGGGTCAGCAACCTGCGGCTCTGGAGCCGCATGTGGCTCTTTCAACCCTCTGCTGCGGTTCCCTGTCGCTCAAAATATGCGTCACAATTGCCTTAAGAAAGTTCAAAACATTCTTAAAGATCTATCTCATCCTGGGCACCCTATTTTTTTTTTTTTTTTGAACTATTACCATCTGGCAGACGGTACAGGATAATAAAAACAAGGACAAAGAGGCTGAAAAAAGCTTCTATCCCAGGGCAATAACCATATTAAATTTTACGGTATAGTGTAGGGGTCAGCAACCTACGGCTCTGATGTTGAGGACTACCTGTACATCTCCAGATCAGAAAGGTCGGCAGGTCGGCGGTTCAAATCCCTACTACAGGTCTCCTGCGTGAGCAGGGGGTTGGACTAGATCAGGGGTCCCCAACCTTTTGGAGCTCAGGGGCCACTAAATTCATAATTTTAAATCCCACGGACCACTAATATGATCTGCCTAATGAGCGGCTGGGTCGCATGGCTAGGTGATCATGTGACTGGGTGGGCGTGGCCAGCTTGATGTCACTTGCATCTAGGGGCATCTCGCCGGCCTCTACTCGCCCCTCCCCTCCCAGCCACTCCTCGCCTGCGTGCTCGGGCTCCTTAGGGCCTCAACAGGAAGCAGCTGTTGGAGCTAAGCAGCCTCCACGAGAAAGAGTTGGCAAAACAGCTCAGTTCAAATTGGATCTGACTGAGAAGGAGGCTCAGCAGAAGCACCTCACTGAGGACTAGGAGCATAGGCTTTCCAAGCAGAGGGAAGACCTGCGGGAGTGTAAGGCCAGGTACCGGCCCCTGGAGGCTCACTAGGCTGAGATGGTCAGCCAGTTCCAGGCCATTGTGCAGTCCCACTGGAACGAGGCCCTCCAGCTCTTCACCACCAGTGGTGCTTCCCTCCAGCCTTCGCCCAAAGCCCCACACCAGGAGGCCGAAGCAGACCCCAAGTCGGAATTTCTGCCCCCTTCCGACCCACACAAGAAGACCCCGAAGGGGGAGACTCTCTGCAGCAACACAAACATTCATTGCACGTATCCAGCCCAGGGGCCGTAGTTTGAGGACCCCTGATTTAGTGCAATATAACAAAATGCAAATAATTTTTCCGCGGACCACCCAAATTTTCTCACTGACCACCAGTTGGTGACCGCTGGACTTCATGACCTCCAAGGTCCCTTCCAACTCTGTTACTGTTAAAAAAAAAAAAAAAAGCCCAAAATATTTGGGTAAAATGGGACAACCCTTCTCTCCAGTGCCCTTATCCCCAGTCGGTTTTCATCTTTTGCTCCAAAACGACTTTATTGCGAGTTTCATTTCTTGATGCTGCGTCTCCTCTTGTTTGTATTGTTTGCCTTCCTGAACCTTCGGTTGCCGCGGCTGAGACGAAGAGAGGAGATTACGAAGGCTCAATATCCTACTTTGCCATTCATTCACAACAAACAAAGAGCAATGATTGATGATTAAAAATGCATTCTCTGCTCTTGTTTTCTTTTGTTTTACCATTATGGGGATATTATAAATATGGAATACTAATCAAGGCAGACCTGTCGAGACCTCAGAGACCTTCGTGCCATTTGAGGGCTCTGGGAAGCTTTAAAGTTTTTTGTTTCAAGTCTTTTCAAAAAAAAAAAAAAAAACCACTGCATGAATGGGATGTTAATGCCAGATTTGGACTGGCGCTGCTTTAGATCTACCGGGGAAGACTTAGAGGGCTCAGCCGCAGCAGTTTTCTAAGTGTGGGGATCCTCAGAGAGTCCAGACACCCCATATCAGAGGTGGGTTTTGGCAGGTTCTGACCAGTCCGTTTTTTTCTCGCCTTGTACTTTCCCTTATTTTGCCAACTTTTAAGGATCGTCTAAAGAAAGCACAACTTTTGCCGGAAACCACTTCACTGCAGAGGTGGGGTTTCAGCAGGTTCTGACCACTTCTGGAGAACCGGTAGCGGAAATTTTGAGTAGTTCGGAGAACCGGTAGTAAAAATTCTGACTGGCCCCGCCCCCATCTATTCTCTGCCTCCTGAGTTCGGACTGATGGGGAGGAAATGGGGATTTTGCAGTAACCTTCCCCTGGAGTGGGGTGGGAATGGAGATTTTATAGTATCCTTCCCCTGGAGTGGGGTGGGAATGGGGATTTTGCAGTATCCTTCCCCTGGTGTGGGGTGAGATGGGAATGGAGATTTTACAGTATCCTTCCTCTGGAGTAGGGTGGGAATGGGGATTTTGCAGTATCCTTCCCCTGGTGTGGGGAGAGGTGGGAATGGAGATTTTACAGTATCCTTCCCCTGGAGTGGGGTGGGAATGGGGATTTTACAGTATCCTTCCCCCGGAGTGGGGACAGAATGGAGATTTTACAGTATCCTTCCCCTGCCATGCCCACCAAGCCACGCCCACCAAGCCACGCCCACCAAGCTACACCACGCCCACCAAGCCACGCCCACAGAACCGGTAGTAAAAAAAATTGAAATCCACCACTGCGGCCCATATATTCTGCTGTTGATCAATCCTGGCATGCAGCAGAACATGAAGGAAATCCCTCCTTTCCAACAGGTTCACCCTTAATTTTCTGAAAGGGGTGCTAAATCCTAATATAATTTGCTTGTCTGTGTCTTGGTGGCTATTATGCGAACGGAGCTACTCCGATCTGTAATTTGTAAACCCTAGTTTATGGTTTGAACAAATTGTGTAAATGAAGCCAACGTGGCTGATTTAAGAAACCACGGTTAAGGAAATCAAGTGCGTATAGTCAAGGCTATGGTTTTCCCAGTTGCAATGTCTGGCTGTGAAAGTTGGACCAGTGGGGGTTCGGACCGGTTTTATAGAACCAGTAGTAAAACCAGTGGGAGGCTCTGCCCACTGATCCGGACATCATCAGAAGCGATCTGCGCATGCGCATCACGTGGGCACGATGCAAGCCGTTAGTAAAGATAAGTAGAACGCATCCCTGAGTTGGACCATAAGGAGGGTTGAGCGTCAAAGAATGGAGGCCTTTGAACTCTGGTGCTGGAGAAGAGTCCTGCGAGTCCCTTGGACTTCAAGGCGATCCAGCCGGTCAGTCCTAGAGGAGATCAACCCTGACTGCTCTTTAGAAGGCCAGATCCTGAAGAGGAAACTCAAATCCTTTGGCCACCTAATGAGAAGGGAGGACTCGCTGGAGCAGAGCCTAATGCTGGGAACGATGGAGGGCAAAAGAAGAAGGGGACGACAGAGAACGAGGTGGCTGGATGAAGTCACTGAAGCAGTCAGTGTGAGCTTAAATGGACTCCAGAGGATGGTAGAGGGCAGGAAGGCCTGGAGGAACGTGGTCCATGGGGTCGCGATGGGTCGGACACGACTTCGCAACTAACAACAACAACAAAGGAAATCAAGGCTTCGCGTATTACGTTTTCTTAGCAGTGACTTTTCTGTGTTCGTAGAATATTTTCCAAAGGAGGCCCAACTTTTGTTAACATTTTGGGCCCTGTGGTATGTTTTTTTTTTTTTAATGCATTTTCTTCCCGTTGTTGCTAACATGTCTTTATTTATGAACTTTTATGTTCAGCTTTGATTTTATTTCTGCAAATTGCCCTCAAAGCTTTTGATGAAGGGCAGTATGTAAATCTTGCAAGCAAACAAAATGATAAAATCCTTGCAGGCTAGGAGACAGTGTACCACTTCCAAATATAGGCAGGATAGCTCAGGTTTCTTTTTTTTTTTTAAATCTTCTAGAAAAAAATGTCCCAGAACAAAAAAAAAAAAAAAAAAGTTGCCACAATTAGAAAAATAAGACAATAACGAGATGGGTTTTTTTGTTTTTTCATTTTTTGTTTATGTAGGAACATCCACTTCTTTGATTTTTTTTGTTAAGTGCAATTTATCTATCAGCTCCAGGAATGGACTTCAAAAATTTTAGCAATAGATTCTCTGCCCGGTTGCTGGCTGGGCATGGCCATGGTGGGTGTGGCCTAGTGCACTACAATGGGGAGGAGGTGTTTTTGCCCTCCCCGGGCTCCGGAGGCTTTTTTTGAGCCTCCGGGAGGGCAAAAACGGCCTCGCCAGGCTCTGGAGGCCCTCTGGAGGCTGGAAACGGGCCCATTTCCAGCCTTCCTGAACTTCTGGTAGGCCTGTTTTTCACCCTCCCCAAGCCTCCGCACACGCCCTGCACTTGCTTACATCCAAAACGGGCCGCATGGGGACTTCTGGGTGGGGCAGGGTGGTGTGAGCGGGGCCAGCCAGGCATGGGATTTGGAGGTTCTCCGAACTGCACAGAATCTTAGCTAGAGGTTCTCCCGAACCCCTGCGAACCCCCAGCAGCCCCACCCCTGATCAGCTCCATTTCACAAGTTCAGACCATCTCCCCTTTTGGTAAGTCTGACAGACACATTTTTTTAAAAAAAATTGTTTCATTTGTAAATTCATGTTTACTTTTTTTAAACTTCAAGTCACAATCCTCGGTGCACCATGGTCACGACCAGACAGGCCCATAGATATTGGGCTAATTGTTAGCTTTGATTTATGAAGACATTTAGGTAAATGCCTTTTCTTCTTTCCAACACCCCCTCCCCACAAATGTTGGAAGAAATTATAAGGGGCTCTGGACTTTGTCCATCAGCAAGATAATGTTCTGAAAAAGTGCACAGAATGGGACCAAATTTGGTATCGCGGGGGAAACCAGCAGAAAGAAGATCAAATTTAAAAATAGGCCAGAACTGACCCTGGTCTACAGAAACAAAAGTCCATCAATGCATCCCCTTATTTTTTTTCTTTCTGGCCACATGATGCAGATCAGAGTATATGCAGCCTATCCT